TTTACCCTACATGAATTGTTGGTTCTTCCAGGTCTCACCTTTACTCTGGATCTTCTCTGTGCTCTCACCTAGAACACTTGTTAATTTTCTTAGGAGTCCTGAGGGTCTCGTGGGCTTTGTTCGGTTTTGTTGGGGTTTCATTCTTTCTTTTTTTTTTTTTTTTTCGGTAAATATTAAAGGCGATTCCTATGGGGATGTCTAATTGTAAGGTTGGAAATTTGCCTCTGTCCAAACAATGCCAAATGGAGGGTTCTTTTCATAAGGAACAAAATTATCATAATTTTTGTGTTGGTATTATTAAACATTGCCACATTAGGTCAGGTTCCAACTGGGCCTCTAGCATCTTAGTATGGAAGAGGTTCATGAGGCTCAGGGGTTCTGGACTTGCACAACCTAAAGTTGGCTTTATTTCCTATTATGTGAGTAGAAAGCAAAAAGTTGATATACCTAGTACCCCCCCTTATCCATGGCTCCCAGTGGGTGCCTGAAACTGCATATAACACCAAACCGTATCTCTATAGGGCTTTTTCCTATACATACATACCCATGAGAAAGTTCAATTTACTAGTTAGGCATAGTAAGAGATTAACAATACCTAATAGTAAAATCAAACGATAAAGTAGTCTCTCTCTCTCTCTCTCTCTCTCTCTCTCTCTCTCTCTCTCTTTCTCTTAGAATGCCTTATTGTACTCACCATTCTCCCTGTGGTGATGTGAGGTGATAAAATGCCCTTGTGATAAGAGGAAGGGAGGTGAACAACATAGGCACTGTGATGTAGTGTTAGGCTACTACTTGACCTTCTGATGATACATCAGAGGGAGGGTCATCTGCTTCCATTGACCACCGTTGACCACAAACTGCAGAAAGTGAAACCTCTGGCATGGGGGGGCCGCTGTATGTGAAAGGTGTGTCAGTACTGTTACATCATGATGGTGTGAATTACTGTTTCCTGAAGTCACAACAAGCTGATTTATTTAACTGGAGTAGAATTCTGGCCTATACCTGGTTGAATTGTACAGTCCTTGATACAACAGAAGTTTCATACTTTATGTGACCAAAGGCTATCATCCTCATCCCTAATACTGTACATTAATTAAATCTCTAATAATAAGATGTCAAATAAACAAAGATTATCTTTCAAGCACACCCACATAGGAAAAGAAATCAAAGTATTAGCTTAATGAGCATTGTAATTTTGCTATTATTAGTAGGTGTGACATTTTGTCATAAGGAAAATCCCTTGAACTTGGAATTAAAAGACTGGGTGACAATCTCACCTCCATCACTTTCTGCTTCCTGGAGATCCCGGGCTAGTCACTTGGGTATCTGAACCTGTTATCCTACCTCTGGGTTGGGGGATATTAACGAGCACTAATCCTACCAGTAGGGTTGTTGTGAGGAAGAAAAGAGATGTGTTTCGTGGCAGACCTTTGTAAATTTTTGTGTTTTACCATCAGTACCAGAAGTCATAGTAGTATTTCTAAAGAAACCATCCCTCTGTCCCTCTTATTTTTAGTTGAGAGGTCTTTTTTCATTTGCCATCTTCTGTGCTTCCCGCGACCATCCTGGGAGAGTGGCAAGGAGAAGGGAATTTGGTCCTATATTCTGTTCTGGGCACAGCGGGGGTGTGGATAGAAGCAGATAACTGGAAACATGTTATAAGTACATGTACACTTTGGAGCCCCAATTTGTGATGTTTCAACAACAATCTTTTGACTTTATGCTAGTGTAAAAGCGATAGGCATTCAATAGAAGCTGTACTTTGAATTTTGAATTTGGATCTTTTCCCAGGCTAACCATACATGGAGCAATACCGTTGTGGTGCTGGGTGTTAGCCACGAACCGCAGCTCCCAGACAGCCATGCGGTCACGACAGTGACCATCCAACACCCAGCCGTTCTGTACCTATGCAACCACCCTGTTTTTCACTTTCACTACAGTAGTCAATAAATTACATGAGATAGTCAAATAGTCATTATAAAATAGGCTTTGTTTTAGATGATTTTGCTCAGTGTAAGTGTTCTGAGCACAGCTAAGGTAGGCTAGGCAAAACTATCGTGTTTGGTAGGTTAGGTATGTTAAGTGCAGTTTCAACTTAGGATATTTTCAACTTACAAGGTGTTATCAGGACATAGCACATCAAAAGTGGAGAAAGGTGTGTGTGTGTGTGTGTGTGTGTGTGTGTGTGTGTGTGTGTACACACACATTCAGAGAGAGAGAGGGAGAGAGAGATCAAAACCCAAACTAAATAAATTACTATAGGTCTATACAAAGAGCTAAACCCAAACTCAGAGATAGTGGTTTCAAAGTTTAATGTGCATAAGTTCCCTGGAAGCTTGTTAAAAATGTAGATTCCTGGGCCCCAACTTTAGATATTCTGAGTTAGTGGTTCTGGACAGGCCCCTAGAGTCTGCCTTTTTACAGTCACCCCAAATGATTCTGATGGGGGCAGTCCCTAGAGCATGCTCAGACCTACTATCTCCAGAACGAATGGACATCACAGGACACATTTCCAGGACTTGGACCCAAAGGAGCTGGCAGGTTTTTCCTCCAACAGAAAGAGGATTCATGGCTTGGCTTGTGCTTTGGGAACTGCATGAAGAAAGAAGGATAAATGTTTCAAGCTAGATTGAGGAAACAAACACAAAAATCAACCAACCAACAAACCCAGGTCATTTCTAAGCACTAAAGATAGCCAGGGAGCTGACCGCATCCAGAACAGAGAATTAGGAAGAGGTTAGAGATGGCATTATCAGGAAAAATGGGCAGAGAAAAACAGAAGGAGAATAAGGGGACAAGAAGGAAGGCAAATGCCCCCTAGCATCCAGGTGACATCTTCTGCTGTAAAGGTAACTGTTCCATTCTTCTGCCATCATTCATCCTGAAAAGCACAACTTGCTCCGTTTCATCTTAAGAACACTGAGAAACTAGTACAATCCCAGTACAGAAAGCCGACGGCACAACCAGGATAGAATTTTAGAGTAGTGTCTAGATTCGCACAGTATTTACTATTTACAGGAGGTGGTAGTAGATGTGGGGCATGCTGACGGAAGTCCTGGGGGTTCATGGTTACCCCCCTGTCCCTTGTCCACGGTGTCTTGGACAAGGAGAGTATGACGATACAATTGATGCATTTGGGGGCTGCTTATTCAAATAGGACTTAGGTACCCTGGAATCCTGATGGTGTTCAGGGATTATTTCCAGTATAACTTTATGTGCTTTAACTCTATAGAAAGCACAGATTCGAACCCAAAGTGTGAACCGGCATCTTGGTCTGCGGTAAAAATCTCAAATTGTAATGTCTTGGGATGTATATCAGCATTTAAAAACTGAACTTCATTTGGGGACTTGCCTTCAATGTAAACATATTTCCTTGTAATTAAATATGCCAGCTGACAAAGTGGCTACCCACAAACCAGGCAGGAGTCTAAGAAATGCAAACTGTTAAAAGATGTCATCTTGAAAGCAGCTAAACATCTCCATTCTCGAAGAAGCCTCCAGCCCAAGGAACTCAGTGAACATAATTAGAAATACATCTGGGTATTGGCCTCCTATCTGAAAAGGTCACATGCACACCTTCCACTGGTACTGGTTATATTCCATCATTTGTTCTGTCCTTACTCATTTGTCTCCCACTGGTTACCAGATGGCCACGATAATGTTGGTATCCTTAACAACTGTCTTGTGCAATTCCTGGCAGCATGGTAAGGGCTCAAAATATTGAGTGTTTTCCCTTTGGATAAGCCAGTGACATATCTGGGAATTGCTTACAAACGCGCTGATGGTGTGGTTATAGAGAGTGATGGCAGACCAGGTCATGGAGCCTAAATTCAGCTTGACGTTATGCAGGTGGCAGGCTACCAGAGGGGTGCTTTTGCCATTTCTCAAGCTTCAGGTGAAGGAAGGAGTCCTCCATGCAGAATCTGGTTTTTATAAATAAGCACTTAATATAGTGAGGTGTAGATAAGCATTAAGATCATTGTTAAAAGGAGCTTCATGGAAGTTGCTGAAATGTTCTGAGCTAAGTTGGTTCTGATGGAGCTGTCACAGGATGCTTGGGGAGTCTTCTCAGCATGGTTCTCTGAGTTGTGCCAAGTTACCAGATGGATTCAAGGCACATTGGAAGCTAAGGGGCAAAGGAAAGGGGGGACAAGGCAAGTGGATGTATCAATCAAGTTGGGATAGGTCATGCTGCAAAAACAAATAACCCCCCAAATTGCAGCCTCACTTAAAACAACAAAGGCTGCTTTTGTGCTTGTGTTATATATCCATTTAGGACCAACGAGGGACTCTGCTCCATGTCGCTCTTGCCCCAAGACCCTGACTGACGGTGCAGCCGCTAAGGGGCAAGGGAGCGTGTTGTAGTCAAGCACTGGCCCTTCAAGTCACTTCTGTCATATTTTTTTGATCAAAACCAGTCACATGGCCCCTTGACTTGAGTGGGCCAGGAAGCATGGTCTTTCCACAAGACCGTAAAGAGCACCAGAAATATTTGCTGAACAGCACCAACCACCACCCGATGAGATGACGATGCTGTTTGAACTTACAGGCGTCTCTCTGGGGCCAGATGACCTTTCCAGAGACTTCTAGCCCTGAAAGATTATATAATCTCAAAAAAAGAAAAAAAAAAAGCAGACTCCAGAAAAATGTATAAAGAAGCTCAACCAAATTGTAATTTTTTTCTGCTGATGAGGCCTTGAATGCTTATAATATAAATGAGGCTCTTTCTGCTGCTTGCAGGTGGCCCAAACCACGCCTCATCTGTCCACCTGGACTTTCCTCCGCGGTACCCCAAGGCCTGCGAGTGGGACTGGGCTGGGGAGGTGGGGCCGCCGGGGTCGGCCACCACGCAGCCTGTGTTGGAGATGAGGTGGGGGGGAGTCTTGTTTGCAGACACGGTTTTCATTCGAAAGCAGAGCGATCGTTGGGATTGTGGCATGGCCACGGCTGCCCGGTGTTGGGGGGAAGAGGCTAACGGACGTGTTCTCTTGTTTGCCTAGGGGAGGACGAGGAAGAGACGAACGTGATCGTCCTCAGCTACCCTCAGTATTGCCGGTACCGGTCCATGCTGAAGCGCATCCAGGATAAGCCGCCTTCCATTCTGACGGACCAGTTTGCGTTGGCCCTGGGGGGCATTGCGGTGGTCAGCAAGAACCCGCAGATCCTGTACTGTCGGGATACCTTTGACCACCCAACTCTCATTGAAAATGAGAGTATATGTGATGAGTTTGGTGAGTCTTTTTATTTTGTTCTCTCCTTTATTTTGTGCATGTATGTTTGCTGGTTTTCGGTGCCCACCAGGAGTGGTGATGGGGGACAGGGCTTAGCCCCCCCCCAAGCTCTGTGTGCCCCCCAGATGACTGTGGCAGAAAGTGCCATCACCTCCTTGGCAGCCTCTGGTCGCCAGGGTAAAGGGTAATTATTTAGAATTTGTTGTTTGATAGAGGGTCTGAAGTTGCTTGGTCGACCTTGAAATTGGACTTCAGGACAGGAAGCTTTCATGTTCGCTCTTTCTTAAAAGGCTTTGGCTATTCAGATACTGATTTTTTTTTTTTAACTAATCACTCCCTTTTCAGTGTGATAAGGAACTGTAAAAATGCACCAGTTGTCACCACTTCAGTGCTATAGGGCGAATGGATAGATTGATGAGAGATAGATCCCTGTGCCCCTTCATTTTTTCATATGTATGTATGGTTACACATATATATCCATCTTTGCTGGGCACAGTGTATAAAAATATGTATAGATATTTATATATGTGTGTGTATATATATCTAAATTCAGATCTCTCTCTCTTTATATACTATGCCCCCCAAAGATGGATATGCACACATAATTTTATCTGCATCTCTTCTAGCCAATCAGTCATGTGTCTCTATAGATAGAAGCAAAGGAGAAGATATATCATAGGTTTGGGAGCCTTTGCATGATGCAGTGAATGACTGGAGGCAAGCCAGGATCACATCTCTCACATCTTCATTTTCTCATCTGTTTGTTGAAGAGATTGGATCATATCAGTGATTCTCAACTGGCTAGGCAGGGATATCAGAATACCCTGGGGGTGCTTTATCAAGCTACACATGTTCCTTGGAAATTCCTGTACTTACAGAGGCAAAGAGGCTGAGACCCATGGCCCAGAGAGAGCACTCATAGGGTCGCTTTGAGTTGAAACATTCCTTGATTCTGTCGTCTAAGGTTTTCCCAAGGATCCCCAGTTTGTGGATTATTCGGATTCAGAGTTTTTGCTTAACTGTTACAGGCCTCAGCATGGTTTGGGAAATCCACTGTGACCTCTCTACTCTCATTATTCGTGACCCCAGCAGCCCTTTACCTGCTGCTGCAGGGGGATATTGTAAGTAGGGGTGAGGGTGAGGGATGTTCCAAAAGAGAAGGGAGGAAAGAGGAAGGAGACCTTGGTTCATTGGACATGGCATTTTTTTCCTTACAGACTTTTTTTTGGATGCCTTTCACAACTCTGTCTTACCAGATGACCACCGGTCTATAAGAGAACAGCAAGGTTTATACAAGTTATGTATCCCTTCTTCCAAGAAGAATTTATTGTCATATTTTTAATATTCAAATAATCATTTTATTCAAGTAGGTGAAGTATCCAGCACATTAAAAAAAAAAAAAACCCTCTTTTCAGATCAGCATTTACAAATCTTCCCTTTCTAATACTTCTGTTTTGAGTTGTTTTTTTTTTTTTCCATACCCCCTACTCCCAAACCCTCTGTCCTGCTTGCCACTCAAGAGGTCTGTAAATTCCTGACACAAAATAAAACTGAAGGAATGCTTTCCCTCATTTAAGAGTAGTCAAAGTTAGAGTATCACAGCATAACATAGTGAAAAATGTTTTAACCTTTTTGGCTAATTTAAGAGTTATTAGTCATTGGGCTTCAAAGCTATTGCGTCTGGAATTGGTAATAGAAAGAAGTTCCAATTTAACAGTGATCACAATGGTTGTTAAGAGTTACTAAATTAGTTTTAAATGTTCTCACAAACACCAGCGTCTAACTTTTGAATGTTTTCCTGAACTTTTCTTCTGGTAAAGCTAATTTTAATGCTGTTTTTTCTTCTCCAGCCTCTTAAAATGGAAACTTTCTTTTGGAATAAAGCTACCTTTAAAGAACTGCTAGATGGCCAGTTTAATAATTAGAATATTAGATTTTTTCTTTTCATTGAATTTGTACTTCAGATAGTTTGTATTTCGTGTAGTATTTCATTTTAGTAAGTGAACCCCTCTTCCCCCCCCCACCAAAAAAGCTTATTTTTGACCTGATTTGAACACTTTTGCCAGCACCCCACCCCCGCCTTCCACTTTTGGTCCCTACATCTAAATTTCCAGAGAACACCCTTTTAAACTTCCAACTGGTTGTATTTGAAATCAACATGGGTTGAGGCGTTTGTTAAAACGTGGGGTTGGGTTTCTCTAACCAACTAACAGTTGGTAGAAGAACATAAATTTAATTAGTGACTAGCATTAAACAAATGTTCCTAATATTAAACACTGCCAGATGACCAAAACACTTCTGTCAGATTACCGCGAGTGCCAGGGGGCCCACAGACGAATTTTCTACACAGTATATATTCTGTACCACACGTTTGGTGACTTCAGTAATTGGTCAAATGTAATTTAGGTAACAGTATGCCTAGGCTGTAAAAATCAAATTTTATTAGCCATATCACCAGGTGGATGAATGGTGGAGCTGATGGCAAAGAGTTTATAGCATTTAGCAGCTACACCTTTGACACATGAAATTCATAAATTGCCATAAAATACCTGCAAGGCCCTTCTCAAAAAGGACAGTGTCTGCTTTCCTATGATTAAATAATGTTTATTTTATTAACCAATATATTTTTTGCTTTCTTCTATTAAATGGGATTATGGAGTGGGGGTGAGAGAGGGTGTTCAAAAGATAAATAAAACACAGTTCTTGCTTGTTTGGAGGATTTAAAATTCTAATTGGGGAAGACAGGATTAACGCACCTGAAAGGTTAACTAATGTTACAAGAAAGTCAATGATTAAGTATTTGGTGAGTGTTGCAGAAAGCAAGCACAGGAGGAATTTAGCAGTGGGCTGGTGGGGTGGGGGGCTTGGGAGGGTGATCATGAGAGGCGTCAGGGAAAGCTCCATGAACAAGGCAGGACTCGGTCTGGTTTTCAAAAACAGGGAGAAAGGCTAATAGAAAAGTTTTCGGAAACAACCTAAATCACTTAGAATTCATGTCCTGACTCTCCATGTCAAGAATGGCTGCCTTCACTGTGGGTCAACTGTTGGCCTCTGCTAGGTTTGTTTGCCCTTCATGAATGGTCTGGTGCCCTCTCTGCCAGGAGGACGTGAGTGTGAGTCCATGGACCAAGGCTGGGGCAAATCTAGGCAGTGGCTCTGGAAGTGGAACTAGGCTTTCTTGGGCAGGAACGATCCACATTTTCTCTGCGTGACCACCTTTCCCAACTGCTCAGACACCTCCCCCTTCCCTCCATTGTTTAAATGTTGTCCACGGAATAACAAGTTTAATTGAACAATAAAAGTGAGGCTTTTAAATCTACAATGAATCCCTATAAATAAATTCTCCGAGGAATTTTATGAAGCTGTTTAATGAAAAGTTTGATTAGAAACTATTAAAGAAAAATAGAATCGATGAAATTTCATCATTTAGTCCCACATTACAGTGGTGTCATTTTGATTTTTATTTACATTGAGATATTCAGAATAGAGTAAATATATCCTGGTTTTAATTAACTATCCTCCTTACTTGGGAAAGGTTATTTTAGGCTTGAAGGGTTTTGATAGCGTACCATCTGCTTTCTTCCGTGTGTTTTATTCAAGTCCCTTCCCTGCTTACAGCGCTGTGCAGTGTCTAAACCTATGACATAAGCATAAATTGAATCATATTAATGGCAGGTGATTGAAAAGCTTCAGCCTTGACATCCTGCCTGAATCCTTCTATCTTGTCAGTAAGAGTGCTCTTAAAGGCAGTGTGATCTTTTCACAGCACAAGAGAATTGACTATTTTTAAAACTAAAGCAACGGACTCCCCATGAAAGCATTGTGAAGACTGGTTGTATTGCACGTGCAATTAGGAAATGAGATTATAATAATAATGAGGGGAAAGTGACATTATGAATGACAATTTTTTATAAAAATCTTTACCCTGCATGTAATTCCTGCCCCCACTGTCCCGTTAGAACCTCCTAACGTGAGGCATTCTTCGGCTATCCCCACCTTGCTTTTACCTTTTTATAATTTGATTCCTCTTTTGTAAAACACATACCATCGTTTATATTGTTGTTATTGTCTGTGCTGTAGAGAAAACAGACATGTGCAAACAGTCGGTCTATTTTTCCTGTTAGAACAATTAAATGTCCACCAGTTTGTAATGCACAATGTTTCCCTTAACACCACACGGATTGATGTCGCGTGTGCGAAGTGTTGACAGCTAAATCCAAACAGAGGCGTGCACAGTACAGTCGATAAATGGATAACTTTAAGGTACTTGCTTTTGTCAGAGAGATGTAAGGTGGGCCCAATATATATAAGTGAGATGAAATTACTGCTTAAATGTGGGTTGAACTAACTGGATTAAGATATAGTTGATTAAAAAATAATAAAAGATAGTTTATTTTAGTCTGAATTTTGAACTGCAAAGAGACATAAGTCATGCTTCTAAGTTCTTCGGAGTCAGAGAGAGAGAGAGAGAGAGAGAGTGTGTGTGTGTGTGTGTGTGTGTGTGTGTGTTGGGGGCGGGGGGGGGGTGTTCCTTGACCGAGGAATGGGATGGGGTTAAAGGAAGGATGTGGTATTCTCCTGAAAAGAGCAGAGATGAGATGGGCTGCCGTCTTGACGTTTGGTCCATGTTAGGAAACCATGAACCCTGACCCTTAGGGAGAAGATAGCAACATCGGTATTAAAACATGTCTTTTGCTGAAGCGCAGGGAGGATAGCACAGGTTAGGGGGAAAGTGCTAGGCTTACAGATCCACTAGGTATTAATCCAGGCTCACCTGTCTGATTTGCTCTTCCTCCAGGCAAATGAGGTGAGGCGCCTCCCTCATCCTACCTTTCACACTGGGTGGTAATAGCTCATCACCAGGCTCAGACTAAGTCTGTATTCACTTGATTAAAAAAAAAAAAAAAAAAAAAAAAAAACAGTCCTCATGATCAGTGAAGATTCTCTATTATTTCCAGGAGAATCTTAGGTCTTGGACAGCTTACAGTCATCCAAACCGA